ATTTATATTTTGCTGCAATTTTCACGTTAATGTTTATTTCTCCAATAATTAGTTTTCTTAAATAATGATCTACTGTCTCCATAGGACCAATCATGAGTCCTGTATTAGGCCTACAGTACTTAGGCCTACACCAAATTATTACAGCCAGAGGGTGGTGAAAAGTAGTCAAAGATGTCGTGAAGGGAAACCACTATTTTAACACGATGACATTCTCGAATGATCGAAGTCGTCACGCTAACGTGTGTTTGAATTACGAGCCGAACTTTCACCTTTGATGTGATGACATGGGAAGGACGAGGATGTATTTTCAGAGGATGAAAACACGGAGATGTTAAAGAGGCGAATATCTTCTTAAAACTCCGGACCAAACAAATGCGAATTTCCCAATTGTGATGCCGTCAGTAAACAACAAAAAAAATAACATTTTGGTGCGCGATAGCCGATTTTATAGACATTCTCATGGACGACGTAGGTAAATTACCTTGTGTTTGTACTTTTTTGGTGGGAAGCGCGAAACTTAAGGTGAATCCCTAGTTAACAACCCTCTAGCTCCATAGATTTCCGATGAAACTCGGTATGCTGTTGTTACAGGACGAAGAGATATTAAAAACGTAGTAAAAAGAGGGGGTCACTGTGCTTGCATGTTTTCAAGCCACAATGCTGACAAATAATGTTATTTTAATAGCGACTTTTAATCTCCGCGGGAAAAAAAAAAAAGCTCGATTGTTTTTCAATGCAGCGTGCTATATTACACAGAGTTTGACATTCTTTGATTGTTTATTCATCTACGTCTTAGATAGATTGTTTTCAAATACCCTGCACTAATTTTATCCTTTAAAGGAAACACAATTTGGACGTGCGCTGTTGGGCCCGTTATACCCCCCTCTGTAGTATTTATTTCATTTCGCAAAAAAAGTAGCCATAGATTTCTTCTATTTTTTTTGTTCTCAGTTATTGAGGATATTGCTCTCATTGAAATTATGAGATAAAAAGTGGGGGTCACCCTGCTCGTTTCAGAGAAGAGGAGCATTTATTTCGCTATCGAGCTTAGTTTGAGGGAACTCTCTTACGTTTTGTACGCGCACGCGCTCATGTGCGCGCGCTAATGACGCGAAAATCTTGCGCAGTAAGGATGCGCAATGCAAAACTGAAGAATCACCTTAAGTCTACCAGTTGCATTTGCTGAAACAAATATCTAAACACATTGCTCTTTCAATATAAGCCCGTGCTTTTTGTTGTAGACGTTTCTCCTTCGCACATTTAAATNAATCACCTTAAGTCTACCAGTTGCATTTGCTGAAACAAATATCTAAACACATTGCTCTTTCAATATAAGCCCGTGCTTTTTGTTGTAGACGTTTCTCCTTCGCACATTTAAATTAACTGTAAAATGGCGTTGTTTGCGTTTGTAGTTTTTTTTTTAATTGTCAATAGCTACTGCGAGTGCGTGGAATATAATTCTGACTATTGACCCCCCAAAGACCTCCTAATAAAACACTGTGAATGTTTCTATCGCTCTATTCCGTCATCCATGAGGAAGACTGGATCGCAGGCTCTGTCGACGAGAAGCTCGGGGGCAACAAACCGCTAACCAGTTTGCGTTCTGTATATTGATTTTACAGCGACTTTACAACTCTAGGTATGTGCTACCGAGACTGATTTTAAGTCTTGATAGAACTCTTTGTTGTTTACCTGCAGGCACTGTAGAAGTAGAGTTTGAACCTGGCTCAATCCTCTTCAAAGGTACCGGTAAGTAATTCCAGAAAGAAAGACATTATATCAAGGAAGGATGTAACCCGGCCATTTTGTGTAGCAAATTCTTCTGGTTACGAATGTACATGTCCGACTGGTTTTTCTCTGGGGCAAGATAACAAGACATGTGGAGGTAGTAAGTCATTTGTCTTTCAGGCATACTATTCCTTATATTTGTTGACCATCAGTGATATGATTGAAACAGTTTTGCATATAGAGTTACAAACAGGATACTATACAATTCATTATGCTTATACTTTTACCAGTTCTCTTAGACTCATGAGGTTAAATGTCGTTATAGTGCGAAAATAAATACGAGACTTTTTCCTTGTACGGAACGCTCATTGAAATGTACAGTTTATTGAACCACGCGTTTGTAGTTTTTAGGTGGCAAACGTTGCGCCTGCCTTAAACCAATAATAACGCGCTCAAATTCAACCGTTTTAACAGTCATTATAAAAGAATTTTTTGGCGTACACTTTCGCCCCTTCCACGCTGCGATGGAAAAATAGAAAACGCAGTTTATTCCTATGGTTAGGGCTACCGTCCACACTTATCTTTTTCGAAAACGGAGCAGAGCGATTCTACACTCTTTCGTCGGCTGGTTATCCAGCCGTGGGGAAATAACCATCTCAAATATGTAAACGAACAAAGACGAAAGTGTGTGGAATCTCTATGCTCCGTTTTCGAAAAAGAAAATAGTCTGGAAGAAATCCTCTCTGAATTTGTTTATCAGACAATTATGAATGAAAATGTGACCAAAAAGAACTATTATGAATGAAATAGTACTACAAACTGAAAAAAAAAAAAAAAAAA